GGCAAGTTTCGAGGCCGCGTGCAGCCACAGCCAGCCCAGTTTGTCAGTTGGCCATGTTGGAAGCCCTAGACATCTACCAGCAGCCCCTGGGTAAGGCAGAGAGTGATGGGGACCGACTGATGTCAGAGTTTAAGTCCCTATGGGCCTTGCATAGGGGTAGGGACTGTCCGCGTGTGGATGCAAAGCAAGGAAGGGGGATGCAGGGACCGGTCGTGACCAACCGGGTAGCCGCTTGGGAAAGGGGCGTCTTTCCACTGTCTCCCGAAGTCAGCAACCCTCTGCTAGGCTGTCTCTTGTTGTTTTCTGTTGTTGAACTGGTGCTAGGTCCATTGGGTGGTAATAGACCCTTTGTTTTTTGTCTGTTGCTGCTTTATGACAATGTGTTCTTGGCTCCTACATCAGAAGCATTCTTAGTGCAAAGTCTTAACACGGTTGATAAAGCCATTATCATGTTCCTTCGAAAGAATAAGCTGGACCGTCAGCTTATCACGGAGAGACAGGTAGTCTGCCTCGCTACTGGTCTTGGTTACTCAGTAGCCAGTACCGGGTAGGTGGGGGTGGGGCTCCAAAAATTGTCAGGGCTTCTTCAACTCTCCTGGGCATTTGGGCTAAGATCTCATGTAAATAATGCCCCTTCTTGCTAACAAAGACCTAGAGAGTCCTGGGGGCAGTCAGGCCCTTCTGGAAGAACCTGGGGGCCTCACCACAAATGTCCTTGGTCCTTGGCCTTCGCGCCAGGCCAGCCTGACCCAGCACCTGGGCAGCCATCCCTTCCCTTCACAGCCACCCACAGGCAAAGCCCAGCTGTGCGTATCTGCCCTCTGACCCCTCGGGGCCTCCGGGTTCCGCAGGCAGGGCTGCGTGAAGAGAAGTGAAACCTGCGGTCCCTGCCGTGAGGGCGTTTCAGCTGTCCTTCCTGGCAGCTGCTGTAGGTCTGGCAGCCTTGGCCCCAGCTTCGCCCAGCCCTTAACCTGACAGATGTCCCCAAGTCTTTGAACAATGGCACCTTGGCCTTTTGCTCAGGACAGCTGCCAAAATGGAATGGCAAGAGGACGGATCTAAGCAGAGACCTGGCTCCAAGTGCACTTTGCCCCGCCGGCCGTGGGACTCTGAACTCATCCGTCCATCACTCGGAGGCTAGGCAGGAAGTCACAGGGCAGCCAGTGGCAGGTCTAGCGTGTCCCACAGCACCGTGGAGGACCTCCCTGCCTCCCAACCCCAGGAGTCATGACTCTCCTGCTCTCTTGGTTGTCCATTTTGCGACTCAGGGCTGGAGTCAGAGCTGGTGGAGGGGTTAGGCCAGGCCCCTGGAGAAGGGCAGCGCTGGACTTCTGCCAGTCAGGGTGTCCGTGTGGACCCCTGCTGAGCCTCCTGTCTGCTGCCAGGGGAGCCCTGGTACCACGGCAGGCCGCCCAGGGGCACGGGGCCCTGCCCCAGGCAAGGGGAGGGCGCTGCTAGTTCAGCCAGCCCAGGAGTGTGTCCCGGGAAAGTGGGCAGGAGGGGGCGCCCCGGCCTCCAGATCCCCACCTGCCAGTGACTCCGGGGTCTGGCACTCCCACCACCGAGGAGTGTGGCACCAGCCCCACCCCCACTCACCTCCCACAGCAGAGCCCCTCCAGCTCTGCTTCCTCATCTCTCAATAGCTCTGTGAGAGAGGTGATATACTCTGCACTTTTCAGGTGAGAAAATAGGCGTAAGGAGCAAAGTCAGGCCTTGCCTGATTCCTGAGCCCTTGCCCTTTTCTACCACAGACACACCCTCCCAGACATGGACCACCGAGGGCGCCCCGTGGTGCAGCCCCGTGCCTGGGGACGGGGTGGCGCTGGCCCTGCCCTCCGTGAGGAGGCCTATCGCGGGCTCCCCGAAACAGGCCAGAGCAGAGCCTTGGGGCTCGCTCGGCTTCACCTGCGTGCTCCCCAGACCTCTCTGATCCGGAAAATCCCAGCCCCTTCCGTGACTTTACATCACTGTCACCTCCACAAGTCGGTCCTGCGTGACCTGTCTCCTGCCTCCTCTCCAGCTTGGCTCAGCCCCACCTTCTGCACGTCCGGGACTATGCGGAGTTCCCCAAACAGGCAGTGTTATTTCACGCTCTCTGCTTTGGCATGTGCGGTTCCCTGTCCTGGACGTGCTCCCTGCCCCGGCTCTGGTCGGCCAAGCTACTTCCTGCTTGTTCTGGAAGGTTCAACTGCAGCCTCTCCTCTAGGAATCCTTCCCTGACCCTGCTGCTACCCCAGGGGGCCCCGACGTCCCTCCCCTGTGCTTCCTTGTCATGCACAGCTGCCCACGTTTCTGGCATGTCACCCCAACCCTGCCTGTCCCCCCACTGGCCTGTGAGTGCTCCGAGGACAGAGATCTCTGTTCATCCCTGCGCGGCGCCCGCATGTGCTAGGCCCACGTGTGGACGTGGACCGAGAGCTGTCTTGTTTTTGCCAGACCGAATCAGGATGTCAGAAGGTGGCATTGCTGTGCCGGCTGCCTTGGCACCACTCCTCCTCCCGGGGCCAGGAGGCGAGTGTGGCAAGAGGCGCATGAAGCAGAGCGGGAAGAACACCAGGGCCATGGGCAGGAGGAAGCCAAGGGAGAGCGGCCTGGGTCCTTCCTAGGCAGGCAGGTCCTGGCGCTTGGGGTGTGATCAGTGTGGTGGCGGCGAGTGGGGGTGACGGGAAGGGGGACTGGCAACGAAGCCAGGCCCTGAGCCCCTCGGGGGCTCTGACGGGCCTCTCAGAGGGCTCGGGGTGTCTGCTGAGGAGCAGCCTGGAGTCCCGGGCAATACCACGCCCCACAGCGGGAAGGGCCTCGCTGCTGGGCCTGTCCTGGGGGAACAGTCAGAGCCGGGGCCTCAGGGACCTTTCACATCCAGAACCGGTGTCATTTGTCACTGTGGTCAGTGGCTGCAGCCATGTGGCAGCCAAGACAGGCTTAGCTGAGCCGAGGGGCCTTAACGGTGACACAGCAGGGACCTAGGGACTAGGGGGAGAGTAATATTGTGTTCACCTTTCTTTGCAGTAGATGTGGTTGGTGCTCTCAGCCGTGTGTAGCTGATGAGGAAACGAGGGACTTGCGTTTGGTTGCCCAGTGAATTAGAGGCCTTGCACAAAGCTTTCCGCCTTTACTGGCCAGGTGGACCCCCAGGCAGGGCGCTGGCCGGAGTCTCCTGTAGGGCTGGAGTTTTCTTCCACCCACTGCTCTTTGGAGAAGGCCAGCTGGGCACCCTCTCCAAATGTCCCTCAGATTCTGTAAGTTCTTGAACTGGGAGTGCTGAGCCGTATGCTCATTGGTGGGACCCGGAAAACATCGCTGCCACCGAGCTTGCTGATGTCAGTCACTGAGACAGACACCGTGGAGTGACCCCAGATTTCCTGGAAAACCCAAATCCCTGGAGAACCCATGCACCCTGGGGAACTGGTAGCCAGAGGCGCCAGGTTGTAGAGGAACGTGAAACCCAGACTAGACAGTAGTTGGAACTTCGTTCCTAACAGAATGGAGAGCCCCTGGAACATTTTCACCGGGCAGTGGAGCGGGGCATGGGAACCTTCACTGATTTAAGAAGGTGAACTGGGGGCAGTGGGGAAAATGGAGACAGAACCCAGGCAGGAAGCTCACGTCCAGGGGTGAGTACAGAAGGGCCCGAGAACCCAGCCTAAACCCAGGCTCTGCCGAAACGCCCCTTCATCTTGCAAGCGGTGGCCTGCACGACCCGTTTGCAGGCCGTGAGTTTGGGTTTTGGAGGCAGAGGCCAGAAAAGGCAGAGGGAAGCCGCAGTGTCCTGTCCCTCAGGCTCGTCGAGCTGAAGGATGAGAAGGGCGTCGGCGCCCCCCCTGCCCTTCCTTGCCCCCCTTCTCCATGAGATCTGTGATGACCCGGGGCTTTGGGTCTCTCTGAACGCCTGGCCCTTTCTCCTGGGCCGGGGGACCATCATGAAGCCCGTTTTCCATGCGTTTGCTGGCTCCTGGCCGCTGACTCTGCTCAGCTGATGCCGTGCTGGGGAAGCAGGCAGTGACTCAGAGGCACGCGGGCCCTCCCGAGACCCCCAGGAGAAGGGAGCAGCAGGGGTGCATGGAAACTTCCCTGGCGTCTGGCTGATGTGTTCTTTCCGTCCCAGACCAGCGCATGGGGCGAGAAGCGGAGGGTGGGAGAGGGCAGAAGAGGGCCCATGTGACGAGCGAGCCACAGGTGGAAAGCATGACCCTGCTGTCCGGAGGGTCCTGCGGATGAGACCAGGACAGGAAGAGGACATGGGTGCTGCCAGCAGCGTTCCCGCGGGTGCCCTTTCCAGCGTGGTCTGGGCTGTCTCTAACCGGGGCGGCACGGGCTACTGCTGCTCTCTGGGCATAAGAGGGGCACTGGGCTCACTAGGAACACAGACCCTTCCCCACCATCAGCCTCCCACCCACTCCCATCATTTGTGGTATTTTAAAAAAAGACTTTCTCCCTGGCTGGTGTGACTCAGTGGACTGAGCGCCAGCCTGCAAACCAAAAGGTCACCAGTTCGATTCCCAGTCAGGGCACATGCCTGCATTGCGGGCCACGTCCCCAGTAGGGGGCACACAGGAGGCAACACATTGACGTTTCTCACGCTTTCTTTCTCCCTCCCTTTCCCTCTCTAAAAATAAATAAAATCTTTTTTTAAAGGGAACCCTTTAAAAAAAAAAGATTTTAGCTCCTTTCCCCCCTCTCTCCTGCGCACACAAACGTGAGACACTCTGACTGCAGTGAGGCCAAATGAACGCAGAGGTGATGGAGGCGACAAGGGTGGGAGGGAACCGTTGGTGTTGGCCGGGCTGCTGGTGCTGGGCCAGCTCTGGGAAGGACTCCGGCGTCGGCACCCGGGAGGCAGGGCTCCCTGCGCCCCCTGGCCTCGGGCGTCTCTTCCTCCCCTCCACTTGTGTTTGAAGGGGAGCCCCGAGGTGGAGAGTTGGGGGTGCCCTGGGGCTGCGGGGCGGGCACAGGTGCCATGCGATCTTCCTGCTCACGCGGATGTCCACCTTTTCCTGCAGGTACAGAAGCTTCATCCTGCTGCTCACCTTCTTAATTTATACCTGTTATCACATGTCCAGGAAGCCCATCAGTGTTGTGAAGGTGAGGCTGGCCGGGCGGTGGGCAGAGTGCGGCCGACCCTGGGCCCAGCGGAAACATGCTGCGTAGAACGGTCCGGGGCTCGGCCCAGGACCTCCCTTCCTCCGTGATCGCCCCGCCGCCCCTTCACCTGACAGGCTCCCCTTTCCGTGGCTCTGTGTCTCAGGGCACTTTCCCCGGGTGCCCCCTGGGAGTGAGTTCACCGAGACAGCAGTGTCAGTGGCTGTGGGTGGGTGGAAAGAGCGAGGACCCTGGGCTCTGGGTTCTGCCTTCGCTGAGGGTCCGACATGGCCGCCAGGCCCTGTAGCCAGGTCCTGCAGGAGGAGGTGCCAGAGGAAGGCGCAGAGTCCAGAGGGAGGCGGTGGTGCCGGCGTGGCTGGGGAGCGAGGCTGCTTGCCCTTCTCCGGGCTGCGCGGGCTTTGGGGCCCCTGACCTGCGCATCCCATTGCCTGTCCAGAGCCGTCTGCACCAGGACTGCTCAAAGATAACCCCGCTCCCCAATCATACCCACGATCCCAACGACACCACGTGGTGCAACTGGTCTCCGTTTGGTAAGAAAGGGGCCAGTTGCTTCCCACTCCGCACTCCCTTCCCCAGGAAGGGGTTGTCCAGGGCTGGAAAGGCCTTCTAGCCGGGGCAGCCAGGTCACGTGCTTTGTCTCTCCCATCTGCTTTCAGACCAGAGCAACTACACGGAGCTACTGGGGGCCGTGGACAATGCCTTCCTCGTGGCCTACGCCATCGGCATGTTCATCAGGTAAGGGGGGCAGAGCTGCAGCGGGGCGGTTCAGAGCTGCTGCCTCCCGCTGACCGACAGCGGCGCGGGGTCAAAGTGGAAGAGCAGATGGCCCCCAAGTGGAAATGAGACCAAGACTTCCGCGCGTGCCATCAGCCCACGGCCATTCTCGCTTCCTTACGGGGTCACTGAGCCCCCTCCTTCACCCGGCCGATGCTTTCAGGGGCCCTTTTTCCTGGAAAGGATGCTCTGGTGGCTCAGAGGTGATCACCTGCCCGAGGCTAGGGAAGGCTTCTCGAGGGGGTCACACGGGCACCGATGCAGAGCAGCTGGGTTTGGCGGTGGAGGGGAGGGAGGCGGAAGGAATGGCAGGAGGACAGTAAGGAAGGGGGAAGCGGCAGGGCCTGCGGGGGCGGGGGGTCAGTAACAGGTCTGCCGGGTGTGGGCCGAGGAGTGAGGGCACCGCGCCGGGCCACGGGCACCCGAGGGCGCTGAGGGGCTTTACTCAGGGCGTCCTGTTCAGATTTGCTTTACAGACAGGTCGCTCTGAGGGGGATGGAGGGTAGGCCAAGGAAAGGTGAGACTAAAGGCCTGGTCATGGGAAGAAACAGGACGCGAAGGGTCCAGCTAAGCTTTGAGGAGTGTTTGAGAGAAAACAGCAGTAATAGCGGCAGGAAAGAGACGACACACCGGAGAACTATTTCAGAGAAGAACGGGCCCTGGCCAGGCGGCTCTGTTGTGAGAGTGTCGTCCCCACACGCTAAGGTTGTGGGTTCGATCCCTGCTCAGGGCACATACAAGAATCAGCCCGTGAATGCATAAGTAGGGGAACAACAAATCGATGTTTCTCTCTCCCTCCCTCTCTCCCTCCCTCCCTCCCACCCTCCCTCTCAAATCAATTTTTAAAAAGAGTAGAATGGGTGGCCTTGCAGATTGAACGTGAAGGGTGGGAAGGAGAGGCAGGGAACGGAGGCAGCTCTGTTATTTCTAGCCCAAGTGGCCGAGGATGGGGGTGCCGTTCACTCCGGTGAGGGCACAGGGTAAGGGGCTGGGTCAGAGAAGGAGGTAGAGGAGTTCAGTTTTAGAGGTTTGAGGTTCAAGTGTTTGGGGGCATCCAAGCCACGACGTCCAGAGGGGGTCAAGCACTGGGGGGAGACCAGGCCGAGGATATGCACTTGGTGGTAGTTACAACCATGAAAATGCTGTGAGAGACGGCTCCTCGAGCCCTGGCCGGGAGGCTCGGTTGGTTGGAGTGTCATCCCCGGACACCACAAAGGTTGCGGGTTCGATCCCAGGCTGCTCCAGGAGAAAGTCAGTGAGAAGCTGTGGTCAGCCTGGGGGAGGGGCGGAGGCCGGCAGCAGTAACAGCAACGGGCCAGGGAGAGACGCCCCTGGGGGTGCGGTCAGCAGTTTCAAATGAAGCAGAGAAGCCTAGCGAGTGGAGGACAGAGGGTGTCCCTGGCTGCGGCCACCTTGCTCGAGCTGCTCCTGCGGTGGGCGGGGGAGGAAATGGAGGTGGAGCTTGAGGTGTGCAGACAGCGGGGATTAACCCCACACCTAACTCTCTCTTCTCCAGCGGGACTTTCGGGGAGCGGCTCCCCCTGCGTTACTACCTTACAGTCGGAATGCTGCTCAGTGGCCTTTTCACCTCTCTCTTCGGCCTGGCCTATTTCTGGAACATCCACGTGCTCTGGTACTTTGTGCTCATTCAGGTATGAGCCTCCGTCTTGCTTTCGGCCTCTGTTTCCATCACAGAAAGAACTCAGTCCCTCTCGGCGGCTCCCAGGCCGTGGCTGACTTGGGCCCCAACTGCCCTGCCCAGGCCTCTGCTCCTCGGTCCGCTCAGCAGGGCCCGCTCCGCCTCCCAGGCTCCGCCTGTGCTCACTCAGCGGGTCTGCGCTGAGCCCTGCCCTCAGGCCACTTGCGGCACCGAGAGGCTGGGTCCCTGCAGCATGGGATCTGGGCCAGAGGGCATTAGGGGCGGTGTGGCCCCTGATACTGAACCACCTCAGCCCAGGACTGGCCGCAGCAGGGAGGCGTGCATCCCATTGCCTGTCCAGAGCCGGGCCCACCCCACCTGCCACCTCTCTCCCTGCAGATCTGCAATGGACTCGTCCAGACCACGGGCTGGCCCGCGGTTGTGACCTGTGTGGGCAACTGGTTCGGGAAGGGGAAGTGAGTGTGACAAAGGAGTGTGAGCAGGGGGCGCCCTGGGAGGGCTGCGGTGGTGAGGAGGTCATTTGCGGCCCTGCCATGTACTTCCAGGGGAAAAGATTAGACACTGGTCTCCATTTTGCTGACTTTCCTGTGCTGAGCGAGACATTTTAGTGCCTAAAAAGCAGTATTGCTCTTCCATTGATACGGTTTTAAGCCATAAAACAGCAATCTTCATTGTGCTTTTCCTCATCCTTGATCATTTCCATGTCTCCTAAAAGCATGAATGAAGCCTGTAAAACTATTCTTTTTTCTTAAACTGGCTTTTGTGCAAAAAAAAAGTTGCTGTACAGCCGGTTTCTCGCCCTCAACACTCTTCCCCTTCGGGGCTGGACGTGCCGGCCGTCCTGTGCATTGCAGGTGCTCAGCAGCATCCACCCGCTAGGTGCCATCAGCACACCCCGAACTGTGACCGTCACAGCTCTCCAGACACTGCCGGTGTCCGCCGGGGTTGAGCACCAGCGCTTTAAGAGTTACAGCCACGGGGAAGGAGAGAAGAGAGGGGCGGGGAGCTTGACCCCTGAGAACAGCAAGAGCTCCCTTGTGAAGCCCTGTGTCCCTCTCTAGGTCCCAGCCGTCCCGCTCTGGTCCCTGGCACGGAGGCTGTCGGCAGCCAGCTGTCTGCACCTGGCCAGAGCGGTTGAGGCGAACCCTGTGCTTGCCTTTTTATTTCTTCTGTTCCTCTCCCCTCCCCTCCACTCCAGGCGGGGGTTCATCATGGGCATCTGGAATTCCCACACGTCCGTGGGCAACATCCTGGGCACCCTGATCGCCGGCGTCTGGGTGAGCGGGGCCTGGGGCCTGTCCTTCGTGGTACCGGGCATCATCACCGCCGCCATGGGCGTCGTCACCTTCCTCTTTCTCATCGAGTGTGAGTGGCCGCCGCTCCCCCTGGGCCCGTCACGCTGAGGGAGGCAGCTGGCTCTGGTGGGAAGAGTGCTGGTCACGGCGCTGGAGCGCCCGCTGTGTGACTTGGGACAAGCAGCCTCTCGGAGCCTCAGCTGTCTCACGTATAAATAGGACGGACAGCAGGCACGTCCCCGGGCTGCTGAGGGTGTCAGGGACACAGGTGGTCTGAATGCCCGGCTCCTGTGCTTCGCACCTGCTGGCTGAATCTGAGGGGTAAAAAGGGGAAGGGGGGGTAGATAGGACACGGCCACGTGGGCGGTTCTCAGCCCCATTCCCTGACAGCCCGAGAGTCAGCCTGGCCGGGTGGTGGGGCTGCTTAATGTTGAGAGGATGGAAGCCCAGGCGGCAGCAGTGACCACGCCGGCTGTCGGGAGGGCCAGGCCCAGCAGGCCGTCTCCCGGGCCCTTCCAGCTCCCTCCTGTGGCCACTTTGGGGCTCAGGACTAGTTCCAGAGCAAGGGGGTGGGCCCGACCTGAGGAAAGCTTCTTAGAAGGTTTTTTTTCAGATCCAGAAGATGTGGACTGCACCCCGCCACAGCACCACGTGAGGGTGAGCCCCCAGCCCGCGCCCCGCCCTCCCGCTCCCCCCGCAGGCAGGTCTGGGGAGCTGCCGGGGGAGGGCCTGAGCCCACAGCTGCTGCACAGGCCCGACGCCCGGCCCTTGGACTGGCTTCTCACCAGCCGAGGGGCCTGCGGGCGGTTAGTCCAGTCCGGGAAAGGGACACGCGCCTCTCCCAGCTTCAGAGCCCCTGCCTCCCAGGTGGGGTGGGTCCTCCCTCCAGGGCACAGGAGGCCGCACACGGGCGTGCCCACAGCGAGGTCTCCCTCTGTTCAGGACGGGCCGGAAGAAGGCCAGACCAACCCCGAGGACCCTGGGAGTAACCCCTACTCTCACCAGGAGCACAGCCTGGAGGCAGAGGCCGGATGCTCCAACGAGCCAAGCGCGCAGCCTGCTGCCGTCAGCTTTTGGGGGGCGCTCATGATCCCGGTGAGGAGCTGGGGGGTGGAGCGGAGAGAGAGGCTCTCTAGATTTTTCTGCAGGACATCAGGACATGGGGATGCTCGGGGTGACCCGTGGTGTCCAGAATCTCTTTACAGGAGATGCCCGGGGCGGGGGGTCATAGGGGAGGCTTGTCTGACACAGCGTGGGAACAGCAGCCATAGTGCTTTTGTTCAGAGCGGGCGTGGACTTGCAGGGCTGTGCGTGGCGGGAGTGGCAGGGGCTGGGTGGTGTTCGGCTGTCCCTTGAGGAGCACCCTCTTCATCGCGCCCTCTGCCGCGCTCCCCAGGGCGTGATCGAGTTCTCCCTGTGCCTGTTCTTCGCCAAGCTGGTCAGCTACACCTTCCTCTACTGGCTGCCTCTCTACATCTCCAAAGAGGGTAAGAATGGGGCGTGGGGTGGAGAAGAGGTGAGGCAGGTCTCCTGTCTGAGAGGAAACCTACTACGTGATGTAGATGAGTCCAGGATATAGGAGGGATTGCTGCTGAACCTCCCGCAGGGCAGAAAGAGACTTTTAAAGTGGAACGTTGAGCCTCGTACGCTGCCCTGACACCCTGAATCCCGCCGCCTCTCCCCCCTTGGAACTGAGGTTGGGGTAGGACTCAGAGCTCCATCCTGTAATCCTCCCTGACTTTTCTGCCCTTTTGGTGAGAGAAGCCACCTCCAGCCTGCTTGGACCGTTGATGGGTGGGATCGGAGGGTGCTAGGCAGGGTCCGCCTTCTGGATGCCTCCCAGAGTCCCTTGAGTTTCTCCCAACCGCAGAAGAGGCCTGGTGGGGCTGCCTGCAGCCTCAGGGGAGTCTGCCCCCTGCTGGGTTGGCTGCGCTGCCCACCTCATGGACTGCTCTTCCTGCCTCTGCCCCATCCAAGGACGGGCAGATGAGGAGAGGTCACTTTTGTGGCTGAAAAGGACGTTTATGTCTGCCCGGCCTGGGTCTTCGCTATTCCATAGGTTGGGTGGCTCCTCCGCAGGGAGCAGACCCTGCCCTTGTCCCTGGGCCTCAGAGCTGGGCCAGGGCCCCGGCCCCACCCCAGGCCACGTTGCTCCCTCCACGGGGCGCCAGGAGCCCAGGCTGCCTGCCATATCCTGTGCTTACCCTAAACAGGACACAATGGGCATTAGTCAGCCAAATCTCAGGCTGTAACTTGCCCCTTAGCTCTTATCTCAGGGGCATCTTGTAAATATAGAGGTGGAGCCTCAGGGCAGCTCCGTGGACCTGTGACTCTGTTTTGCGGCCTTGGCGCTGCCTATGGAGTATGAGTCAGCCCTGAGGGTTGGGCTACCATTCAGGCTTCTAGAGAGTCCTCCTCTAATGCCAGGGCAAGGCCTGGCCCTGAGGGCCTCCCTCTTCCGGGAGTCTCCTTCCTGGCTCCAGGTATCAGCAGAGATCTCAGGTGAACTGGAAGGCTCCCGGTGCCGCCCGCCCCTCAGCCAGCAGCAGGGCGGGAGCCGGCCGGTGGGCCGAGGCTCCGGGAGAGTTTTATGCCCACAGAAGGGTGGCCCAGCGGGACAGGGCTTCCAGGTCAGATCCCACTGCTTTCAGGGGAGGGCTGGTCTGAGAGGCCAAGGCCACCCTGCCGGGGAAGACAGCAGTTCAGTTCAGGGGCCGGAGAGGGCGCCTGGCCACAAACTGTTGGAAAGTCGCTTAGACCCATCACTTCCCTGCGGGTTCTTCGCCTTCTGCTTCCTTCTTCCATTCATCATTGTGGACCTAGTGATACTACCCCTCCTATTCCTCCAGGAGACTGGATCCAGTAACCCAACAGGCAGCCCATCAGACCTAGACATAATCCCATTGCACCCCTGCTGCACAATCAGACTGCTACCTCTGAAAAAGGGGGTCGTGGGCCTTGGTCGGGGACTCTGGTTTTCCTGGCTGTGACACTCCAGGATGTTTGCCCCTGGCCCTAAGGTCTGATCACATTGTTGCATTTTCCACAGCCAACTTTAGCGCCACAGAGGCAGCGAACCTGTCTACGCTCTTCGACGTTGGTGGCATCATCGGTGAGGCTCTGCCCTGCTTTGCCTCCACACTGTGTTCCCCTCTTCTCCTATGTGGGTGCAGAAAGAAGGGACCGGCCCCATGGGATGTGACCTGGGCTCCTGCCCAGCTGGGTGGCCCTAGAAAAGACAGCCCTCGAGTTTGGTCTTCCATAAGCAGCAGGTGCAGGGAGCACTTCAGAGGCAGGCCTGTGCGGGGCAGAGTGACGGGGCCAGGGTGGGGGGCACCAGGCGGGCAGGAGGCTGCGGTCATGCCTGGGGCAGCCCTGAGTGGGTCTGTGTTCCAGGCGGCATCCTGGCGGGGCTCATCTCCGACTACACCAATGGCAGGGCCACCACCTGCTGCGTCATGCTGATCTTGGCCGCCCCCATGGTGCGTATAACCTCAGGGCCAAGTGCGCACGTGCATGTCTCTGCGTGTGGCTGCTGCGCAGGGTGTGCGCCTGTGCGTTTATGTGCACGCGTGTGTGTACATCCCTGTGCACAGGAAAGAGACCCAGACTGAGAGTTTTGGAAAGGGACGAGTGGCTATTTGGCCTTGGTGGGGAAGGGGACACCAGCTGATGAACTTCTGGACCAAGGAAAGGAGAGGATATTGAGGCTAGATATGAGAGAAGACTTTCTGGGAAAAGGAAACAATAAAGGACCACACCTTAGACACCCCCCCCCAAATTCTTGGGACATCTAAGGAGTGAGAGGTCTCGGTGTGAGAACAAAAAGGAGCAAGGAGACCTGCTGGATTCCACGGCCGCATAGAGTCGGTTGTTACTGACTTATGGGCTCCGATCCATCGTCGGGGGCCTGGCATAACTCCGCCTCTCCCCCTTGCTCGTAGCTGTTCCTGTACAACCACTTAGGCCGGAGCGGCCTCGCCACCTCCATCGGTGAGATGCTGCATGTGCGGCCAGCCCACGGGAAAGGCACCGCCTTGGGGGCATCGGCGGGAGGCACAGGGAAGCGGAGGCGCTCGGTCTGATGCCGGGGGCCTGCGCTGCTGTGGGCGCGGGGCTGGTCACGGCCCCTCGCCGCTAACTGGGCTGTCTCTGTCGCCATCTCAGTCATGCTGATTATCTGTGGGGCCCTGGTCAACGGCCCCTACGCGCTCATCACCACTGCTGTCTCAGCGGACCTAGTAAGTGGCGCCACCTCCCCGAGGCTGGGGGTCGCTCTGGGGCCTTGGTCAGGGCCTCTGTCTCCTGGTCCATTTTCCCAGCCCCCTTTCCCTGTTTCTTGGCTACACAGACAAGAGCCTCAGAGCCCTTCAGAATCCGCCAGCGCCCCCACCCCCAGCTCTGCGCCTCAGCGCCGCCTGTCCCTGGGGCAGTGCCTGTCAGGCCTGCTGCTCAGTATGGCCTCTGGCTCGGGCCCTCATTCTACTCTCTCTCCCCAGGGGACTCACAAGAGCCTGAAGGGCAACGCAAAGGCACTGTCCACCGTCACGGCCATCATCGATGGCACCGGCTCCATAGGTCCGTGACCAACTTTGGCTCCTGACAGCTCAGTGCGGAGCCTCATCTGGGGTGCACCCTTGGGCTGCCGCCATCCCGTGGGTGGGGGTCCGGGATCCCCCGGTGGATGCCCTGCTCTGACACTGTGCCCCCCACAGGCGCGGCCCTGGGGCCTCTGCTGGCTGGGCTCATTTCCGCCAAGGAATGGAAAAACGTCTTCTATATGCTCATCTCTGCTGATGTCCTGGCCTGCTTGGTAAGGCTTCCTGGGGTGCCCAGGTGGGTATCGCGGGGCGTCCTGTCCTGCCAGGCTGGAGCCCTGAGCATCGTCAAAAGCGTTGTCCACCAGGGCCTCTGGGACAGCAGCCCTTGGCTAAGAACCGCTTTACCTCCCACGGGCGACCCCTGCTGCATGAAGCTGTGGCCCAGCCCTGTCCCTCCTGCCAGCCCACTGCTGGTCACTAGCCCTGGGGACCGAGCTCATGCTCCGGGCTAATGTTGTCCACCTTTCCCTCTGTGCCTCAACCCCACCCCCCCACCCCCTCAGCTCCTCTGCCGGTTGGTGTACAAAGAGATCCTTGCCTGGAAGTCGGCCCTGAGCAAAGACACCGGGTGAGTCCTCCGGAGAGCAGGGCCCCGCCCCGCCGCCCCCCAATCTCACTTCAGAACCCGCGGTCAGGGGCGCTGCGCCCAGCCTAAGCCCAGCTCCAGCGCAGACCTGGGGAGAGTGGAGCCGGCCCTGGCTGTGTTTGCGAAGGCCCGTCCCTCCCCGGCCCCGGCCCCACTAACCTGCCCTCTGTTGTCCCATGTGTCTCCCTAGCTCTTGTCTGGCCTTAACCCACCCACGGTAGTAGTTTCCTCAAGTCCCATGACTTTTGTGAGTATTTTCCTCAAGCCTGTAACTGATGTGCCATCAGAGCGGGTCCTGCATGCAAATCCTTTCTCTTTCAGTGTGATTCTTCCAACTCTCGTTTTCTCTTTGGGGCCAGTTCCAAAGACTGTCAGCCTGAGTAGAGCTTGGTGCTTTGGATGTGTTTCCTAAAAGGCCTGAGCGGCCACCAAGGTCGGCAACCCCTTCTCTGCGACAGCAGTGGGGCCGTGGCCACACCCCAGGGCAAAGGAGGCAGACCCTGGAAACCGGGTTCCCTCTGAACTCAGACCCTGCGCTGCGGGGGTCCGTGGGCCCCTCTGCCTGCGGTGTGCAGAAAGAATCAGCTTCCAATCAAAGCTTCTGGGACAAAGTCAAATCGGTGTCGGTGACTGGCTGGTGTGCTCTCTGCTACCCGGGGGTGGTGGGCGTGGAGGCTGCACAGACAGGCTTGGTGGCGGAGCCGGCTGGTGAGAGGCGGGGCTCTGTGCGGGGGCTGAGGTCTCCCCAGCCTTTCTGGCTCTGCTCTTGCAGTGGAGGAGCTGGCAGAGCTGTGGACCTGGTCTGGACAGGAGATGTGGGTCATGGGAACCAGCACATTATTGTGGGAAGCACTTCCCTTGAGGGAAGCCGCATCCAGGTTCAGGGGAGGCAAACCAAGAGCAGGAGGCATTAAGACCTCTGTCCTGCGCTGCCCTGCAGGAGCAGGGGGCCTGGGCCGTGTGACCGGTGCACCTTCCATCTGTCTTCCCTGAGCCAGGCCGAGGGAAGGTTGGGGGCGGGGGCGGGGTTGAAAAGGATCAGACAGGGAAAAGGATGAGCCCTCTGCCCTGGCCTGGAAGGAGCCTGGCTTCGGATAGGTTAGCTCGCCTCCCAGCCGCCTGGAGAGGTGGACATGCTCATTCGCAGGGGAGAGGACGGAGGTTCAGGACTTGGATGTGCCCAAGATTTCAGCTTGTCCCTGCTGAGGCGGGGAGCGGGGAGGAGCGGAGCCAGCACCGGGCTTGGAACGAGAACCCCCTGCGCAGCCCTGGTGTCTCTGTTCACCTTTATCTTATAAGGCCTCGGGCTTAATTCTCTGAACCTCCACTTCCTTATGTGTGAAATGGAGATGCTCCTCCCTAAATACCTGACAGGGTTGATCTGAGGCTGAGACAACATGGGATACGTGATATTGCTTTTTAAAGCTGTCCACTGTGGTACAAATATTGTAAGGCTTTAAACGCAATCTGGCTTTCTATTTCCTGCTGAAGACGTGAGAGGAAGCCCTGACTGTGGAGAACAGGGATGAACGGCGATTATTCAAGGACCCTAGGAGCCCGCCTTCCCTGGCCCCGGCACTGGGGCAGGAGAGTGTGGAGCTGTGTCTCACTCTGTTTCCCCTTGCCTCTCTTCCCCTCCTTCAGGTATAAAGAAATGTGAGACCCCGATTGGAAAAGAAGGACAGAGGGCCCCGGCTGGGTCCCCAAGTGCTCCCTGGCCGGACAGCCCAGACTGCCACAGGCTGCTGAGGCCAAGCCTCCCAACCCGACGCCCGCCAGCCCAGCGCCACGCTCAGGGACGCTACGGGGCTGGAGGAGCTCCACGGGAAGAGGGCAGCAGGCAGAGGGACAGGCCAGCGCTGAGCCGTGTCCCCGCCTCGCTGAGGGGAACATCTGCCCAGACCCTGCTTGCTCAGGCTCCAGGACAGAAGGCTGCACAGGGCCGAGGCCCCGAAAAGGCACAGCTCTCCTTCCCCTGTGAAACTGGAACCTCCGCAATCAGCCTGTACCTGCCGGTGCAGTCCTGACCGATTGCAGAGCTGCCCAGCCTCGCTCTGTCCTTTGTCCACAAGCCGTCCTATCTGATCCTGCCTCTAACTCCTGACGCTCCCGGATGAAAGCATCATGGCTCCATCCTCCAGGGCCAGGGCAGGGGGCAGGGGGGTGGGGGTCGCGAGCAAGGAGTTGTCACTCTTGGCTGCTGCTTGTGCCACTCCAAAGACTGGAGGCCTCCCTTGTCCCCCCTGGCCCCGGCCCTCTGTGTCTCCAGCAGAGACAGAGTGTCAGGGTAGTGCTGTGGAGTGGGGGTAGGGGCTGCGACTGAAAATACCAATGTGTGTGATAAAAATAAGTGTCGGTGGTCATTGAGCGTGCTCCCTGGGTGCCAGCTCTGCTCTAGGAATGGAGCAGGCAGTGGGCACAGAACAAGGACTCATGCCCTGAGCACAGGCAGCAGGGCGAGGAGTCCAGCTGGGAGGAGTTCAGGAGCTGTCAGGCGGGCAGAGGCCTCTCCCCAGGCTCCTGCCACGCTCACTCTGTCTCCCTCGCACGGTCTGTCAGTGGGAGCTCTGCAGCAACAGGTTTTTTTGCGCGCCGGGCCTGTGCCAGGCCTCACCAGCGCCCCATGGGCTGCTCGGGCAGTGTCCCGGGACCTCGTGGCCATGTGCTGGGGCTGACCACACGGGCCTTCCCAGAGGAATGAATTACTCAGGGCAACGCGGATGAAGGGTGGGGGTGGGGGGCGAGCAAACCGAGAGCTTAAAGCCCCGCAGAAGAAGAGCCATTGTGTTAACTGGGATGCTGCATGGACACACGTCCCTCAGCGCTGTGACGGGCGGTACACACGCCAGTGGTAGCTTAGAGGGAAATCATCGAGTTCCTGACGTTCTGGCATAGAAAGCAGGAGCCAGGCAGGGGCCTCTGCTCCGCAAGGCCCGCGGGGCCGGAGCCCAGGTGGCTGCACCGTGCTCAGCGTCGGGGAATGCTTCCTACAGAGGTTTTCACGGCGTCATCCCTCAGGGGGCCGCTAGGTGGAGCCACAACCCCGCGGTAGAGACCAGCGCGGCCGCAGCTCGCTCCTGGCCCTGCGGTGGAGGGGCCGAGGTTTCTCCACCTGCCAACGATCAGCTTCCTTTCCCCGGCGGGCAGGTCAGGGTCAGAGGGTGGACGCTGTTCTTCAGCATTTTCGAGGTCTTCGCGTTCCCCTCTCACCACTTCCTAGCTTTAGGCCCGTTTCCTCTTCTAGAAAACAGTACCAGCCTGGCCTGCCTTAGAGGACCGATGAGAAGGGAGACTAACGGGTATAAATGCCCGGGCGCCCTTGCAGAGCGCACCCAGTGAGGGCAGGAGCCGGGGATGAGAGAGGCTCCTAAGCGGCGCCTGAGAAGACACGAGGGGTGGGGACTCTCCCTGAGCCTTGGTCACCTGCTAGTCTGGCCCTGAAGAGTGGGCGGCTGGAGAGGGAACCAGTGTAAAAGGTCTGCGAAAGGAGAGCAAGCAGGACTCAGCTGTGGGTGGCTGAGCTGGCGAGGCAGGTGAAGAGGGAGGGAGCTAGGATGAGTCAGGCACAGGGCCTGGGGAATGGGGACAGGCCCGCTCATGCTGCCGGCAGGTGAGCCTGGCCCGAGGGGCAGGCAAGCGTGGGCGCGGGGCCTGGCCTGCAAAGGGGGAGTTGGGCTGCGGGCGGGAGCCTGGTGCGGCGCCTGGGATGTGACTTTCTGCAGCCTCCCCGGCCCGAGCTCCCAGCCCCGCGTCCCCAGCTGGGCACGGCCTGGTCCCGGGGCCTGGTCCCGCGGCCTGGTCCCCAGGGCTGGTCCCTGCCTTCTCTCCGGGCCCCAGCATTCACCGGGGGCTCGTGCGGGAGCATTACATTAATTAGTTATTCATTTAATTTAACTTCACATTTGGTCTCAATTAAGCTGAAAGTGTTCTTCCTTATAGATGTTACAATAGCACTTGTAATTAAAAAGCAATAACTCTTTGCATTTCTCCTTTAGCGATCCGTTGGGAGGCTGGGCGAGTGGGGAAGCGGGGGAGGCAAGCAGCCGTGGAGAGAGAGGGAAAGACGCTCTCGCTCTCCGTGGGTCGGGAGCTCCGAGGCCGCCACTAAAACTGCAGGTGGGGGGATGGGAATTCTTAGCACATCGTGAGTGTCAAGGTAGGAGCCCTGAGACGCTGGCGTGAAGGGGTGAACTGGGCATATGAAGGAGCCCAGAACCCGAGCCGATGGAAGGCGGTAGGTGGAAGGGGGCGATCCTTAGGGAAGGGAGGTGGAGCCTGACACTCCCCGGCAGGGGGCGGGGGTGGGGGCGCGGCGGGCAGAATGATGCTTTGTCCCCAGGGGTCACACCTCAATTCCTGGAACCAGTGAATACATTATCTTACGCTCAGAAGCTACTGTGAGGACCATGGGATTACCTTGAGCCCACTGTGCATTATCAAGGTGGGTCCAAAGTAATCTCACAGCTACTTAGAAATCAAAGAAGGCAATAGAGTTGGGTGTCAGATAAGAAGGCACTGGTTTTGAAGACATAGGAAGGGTGCGCCGGCCAAGGGATGTGGGCACCTCTGGAAGCTGGGAAAGAAGCCAGATTCGCTCTAGGGCCTCCAAAACCTTTATTTTAGCCTTGTGGGCTCCATTTCCGATTCCTGACCTCCAGAACTGTAAGATAATAAATACGTGTTGCTCGAAACCACTAAGTTTGTTGTAGTCTGTTACAGCAGCAGTAGGAAACTATGATGCGTTCTCAGTTAAAGCTGGTGCAACATCAACTTGAAGACAGGAACACCGAAGGCATCCCCAAAGGCTAAAAAACAGCGAAGGGGGTGTCCAGGTAGCATTTAGGCAGCACATACCTGCTACACTTGTCCCAGTCCAAGAGCCTTCTGAAGGCACGAACGGGGCTTAAGTATACACCCTTTACAACACCCAACTGGACAAGGAAAACCAGAAAAATGAACTTCATCATTCCACCTGGTTTTGATCTCTGCTGCCATTTCTCAGAGCCCAGGAAATTGAGACAGGGGTGCATGTTGGGGTGGAGATCGGAATAAGAGAATGTGGAAACTTTTTTTTTCCCTTTTAACAGTAGCTGCCACGACCTGCTAGAGACACAGATCAAGAAATACAGACACACTCTTGGCTTGTGGCTTTGAGTTTTCCATTGGCACCTCTGAACACCAGCAAGTGTCAAACTGTGCAGGTGAACAGTGCTTAAGAGAGAGATTGTTGTGTAAGCCCTCCTTAAAAACTCATTCTAGGAGCTACCCGATTGTTTATTATCTCTAAGCACGAAGGGAGCCAAAGTCTAATGGAGCAGAAACCCGCCAAAAACACAGATGATCAGTGAACTTGTCTCTGAGGTGCATAACTGCTTTGCCCAAATTCCGCTAAGATTCTAGATTTTCCACTAGACTCAGTGGCCTTTCCTCAGTATTTCTGTCAACTGGATTTGCATTACCTGACCATGGTCCCTCCTTTTTTTTTTTTTTTTTTTTTGGCTTTCTCCTTTTGGAACAACATTGTATATAGTCATTAAGAGCTTAACTGGAGCTAAACTGCCTGAATTCTAACTGCTATTTAGCCCTTTGCTGAGTTACTTCAAGCAAATCACTGCACCACAATCACCAGCACAGGGGTGTCTATCCCCACCTGTGAAGTGGGGCTATTAAGGGCACCTGCTTCCTAGGACTGCAATGAGGATCACACATACTTACGAAGCACTTAGAAGGATCTCTAGCACGTGTGTGCTCAATATAATAAAAACTGATTTCAAAATGTGAAAAATAGAATACTCCCAAATACTGAGATGGATATACAGATCAAAGATTGAACTCCATGAACTATAAAGCCACCTCCAATCCTGACTTTCATGCCCCTGTGAGGATAATCAGCATTTTCGAGATTCATTCCCATGTGGTTCTGGTTCCCACATCTGGAAACTTGCTTCTACAAATACTTGAAGGTTTAAGCCAAGAAGCTATGATTAAAAGTTTAGGAATTCTTTAACAAAACTTTCATCTTTTTTTTTATATTGGTTAGGAAAATGGTGGATACAAAAAGCTAAGAAATACTATTAACCAATGTAAAAATAAGGCGTTGTTTGAAACCCAAAAGTGATCTTTATCTAGAGAAAAAAGGTATCGGGAATCCTCGTGTCAAGTTTGAGCCCCTCTACTAACTAGCTGAGAAACTTTAAAAAGCTTTAAATCCCTGTATCTCTCTGCCTGCGTCTCATCTGCCAAGTAATCGCAGCAGGTTTCTTTACCCAGGGAATTAAAATCAACCGAAGCAGCGATGGATGCCTGGCAGGTGATGGAAGTGCATGCAGAGGAGTGAAGAGCTCTGCAGACCCCGTGACGGAACATTGGTACAGTAATTGTGATGATTTTTAAATTAAATGTCTGATATCGTGCATCAGTAGAGAATGTTAGCTTTATTTTCATTTTTTTAATGAGAAATTGAAGGAACTTGTCCAAAAATTAGGTGGTGCGTTCTCCTGGTCTGAAAGGTTTCTAAAACACTACACAGCGCCGCCTAGCGGGCAGGATGAATGTCGGCAACGCCCGGCGCGGCGCGGCGCGGCGCGGCGGAGGAGGGTGATGTCCTGCTAACTTAGCTTTTGTCAGCATACAGTTTTAGAAGGCTATGAAATATAGCCCATTTTCTTATATAGAGGTTCTGATTTATTCTCCCTCTCCACCCCTAAAGCGTAGGGATTACCACAGTCTCTTTGCCACAGGATCCGTCTGGGTAGGGAATAGTATAGCACCACCTGCTATTGATCAAAAAATGACGCACGGCGACACTAAGATGATTTGTTTCTACTTAGGGGACGGCCTCCAGGAAGGCCATGTGCACAAGAGGTGCCATCTCAGATGCTGGTTATAGGGGCGCCCCCGCAGACTCGCAGGGAAATTCATTTTGTGCCCCGCACGCCCCTTACTTCATACCCCGACCCGATGGGGCGGGGGGTACGGGGGTGGTTGGCTCTGTCGGCTTTGAGCTTGAAGGTGGGAAGCAATCGGTCATCCTTCCCACTGTGGCTCGGATGGGGCTCACAGACGGGGTCTACAGAAGGCAGGCTGAGCTAAGAACACACCTGGTTCCGAGGATGATTTTGGCTCTTAACATATAAGCCCGTCGTTTACATTCGTGAAAACAGCAACAAAAAACTGGGCAGCAGCGGTGTTGGTGAAGGAGTTTAGTTTCCAAACTTAACACGCTTTTCTCCACGTAAGTAGTCCCCCCAAACTTCGCTGCCATTATCCATTAATCTAATAGCTGGACACCTTTGTTGGGGAATAAAAAAGATGGACTCGTGGTCAGAAACCTGTTAAGAGTTTTCCCAGATTTGCTTTTTCAGCAAGTCTGTCAGGAGAAGGTGACAAGTGGCCGCCTGTGCTTTGTTAGGAGTCACTGGGCCGGCTCAACAGCTCTGCCCGACACCTCCGAATCTGGGGGCTCCCATGCCTGCGGGCCGGCGGGAGGGGCCCACCTCCCTCAACACTTCCCTCGCCTCCTTTCTTCCTCTGCTCTGCGGGGTGGGGGAGGGGGGGTTCTTCTTTCTTTTCTTAGCCCAGGACTCTAGGCCAGATCGAGGACCTACTCCCTTCGCAGCTTCCTGTGGCAAAGCCTTACCTGCAAAGTTTTTCCAAACTGAGCGAGATGCAGCTCAAGGGTAGGGATAATCGCACCCGGCTTCCCCAGCCCCAGACTCCCCAAAATCACCCATTTGCTCCACTTTCAGCTTGGAGCTTAACCCCCTCTGGGGTGGCAGGACTATTCTCTCTACGATGACAACAGGGCCCAAGAGAGGGAGCGGAGAAGGGACCCTAATCTCACACTCGCAGCGGAAGCTCCACAAAGCCCAGAGGGTCTCCTGGCCCGTGGGAGGCAGGCCCTGCGTCCACCACGCCCGGTGCGCGCCGGCTGCCAGAGAAAGCTTGCGCCAGGCAGCTGATCTCTTTAAGCCTTTATTTTTTTTCTACTTTAAAATGCGAATAATAGATTGTTGTAAAAACTAAGTAAACTCAGTTTCAAAGGAACTAGTGTAGTGCTGACAGAATAGCATGTACTCAGTCAGAGTTCTCTTTCCAACTTGTTTTCTGGTTCTTAATTTTAAGCCAGGAGATTCTTCTTCCAAGTAGAGCCAGCCCCTCCACTTAGTGACAAATTTCACTTGGCCTCGGACCTCAGACCCATATGAGGTTATATCTGATCCTGGGAATATACATTCCTCACCAGCTTTGGAGAAAGGGCTACCAATGTGAAAAAGATGGCAATAGCCCCAAATAGCTTCTTATGGTAATTAAATAAGGCACACAAAGGCCACCAAATCCTGGAAAGAAAAGAATCCAGAGATACATTGCAGCAAGACAATCAACAGCCCCACACTTTCACAAACCCCTAAATATACCCAAAATGCACAGACATTAGATTCAGAAAGCCATGGCCAAGAGTCTGCAGTGAGAACCAGCCCTTGGTTGGTGTGTCCTGCTTTACCAGAGCAGAGAGAAGCGTGGCCCTGAGGCAGGTCCGTGACGTGACATATACATCACGTGGTCAGCAACCAGCGCCTGAGCAAGTCCTCCTCCTCATCACATTAAAATCGCCTTTTGAACTTTGAATGCCTTTCCTTTCCAAATGGCCCTGACCTTGTAACTAAGAATTTTATGAATTACCAAAAGAACCAAGTTCTTCCATTTATTGGACAGCAGAAGCCAAGTGCACCTTTTCCCAAAATCCACTCACTGACATCTTGACTGGAAATTTACTCTGAGCAGATCACTCACTGTGACTAGTTCCCCTGACAAAACAGATGGGAAACCTGAGGTGCAAGGTGCTAAGAAGAGACCAATATCGCTCTTAAGCTGGCAAGAATCTATCTCCAAAGAGACAATTTTGCAACCATGTGTCTGGAAGCCAGGACTCAAAGGATTTGTCTTAGTGAAGAACGGATTTTCCCATGATCTGCAGCCACGAGGGCTGTCAAAACGAGGCTCCAAACGGCGCCTTTCTGCTCATCAGTAACATCGAAGTGATGGTTTTCGTGAACAGTGCTCAGCAGGACCTCAGTGGTTTGGCATAGACTGGCTCCAGGACATGATGAATTAGAACCGAGAAGAGACCGCCGAGGAAGACAGCAGTGAGGAAGGCCAGCAGGACATAGCGACCGATGAAGAAGGCGTCCACAATCTGGGGGAAGAAACAGGGACAACGCAGTTACCGCCATGTCAGTGCCCGGGCCGGGCTCGTCTGGCCTCGGGCATGAAGGCGCCCAGAGCTTGTTCCCATTTGTAACTCCTAGGGACATCCGGCCCTGCGTCTCCTTTCCAAGTGGTTGAGGGAGAACATGTTCTTAATTCCCTGAGCCAGAAATGCAAGATAAAGAAAGAATGAATGAAGTACCGGAAACAAATGGCTCGGTTTAGGAGATTCATAAACATTTTGAACACCCTGGATGAGTTCTTTTATGTTCTGGAATCATATGTTATGTTATGTGAAACATAACATATGAAAGCATTCGTGAGCGGCTTACTTGATCTTAGAAAGGCTCATTTTTGTTAACTTTTTATCATGGAGAATTTTAAACATACCTAAAAATACAGTACTGTAAAAGAAATCCTGTATACCCAAAATCCTAAGCCAAAAATCGTCAACCCATTGCCAATTCTGGAGGGTTCACTTTCAAAATGAAAAAGCGGCTCTTCAAAACTCACGAGAAGAGTTCTGAACCCTGAGATGCATAACCCAGCATTCCAAGGGTTCCAATGGCCATTTCCCTGAGATACTAAAAGGCTAAGAGATAATCTACTTATCAGATGTGTCGTTGGTGACTATGCTCTCCCATGCCGCAGGCTGCCTTTTCATTTTGATGGTTTCTTTTGCTGTGCACAAGCTTTTTAGTTTGATGTAGTCCCATTTGTTTACTTTCTCCTTTGTTTCCCTTGCCCTAGGAGACATATCGGCAAAAATAGCTATAAGGGAGGTCTGAGGTTTAACTGCCTGTGTTTTCTTCTAGGATTTTTATGGTTTTGTGAATTACATTGAAGTCTTTTATCCATTTTGAATTTATTCTTGTGGATGGAGGAACTTGGTGGTCTAGTTTCTTTTTTTTTGCATGTACTTGTCCAGTTTCCCCAGCATCATTTATTAAAGAGACTGTCTTTACTCCATCATATGCTCTTGCCTCCATTGTCAAATATTAATTGACTCTATAGGTGTGGATTTATTTCCGGGCTCCCTGTTCTGTTCCATTGATCTATGTGTCTGTTCTAATGCCAGTACCAGGCTGTTCTGATTACAGGGGCCGTGCAGTGTAGTTTGATATCAGGTAGGGTGATACCTCCAACTGTGTTCTTCTTTCTCAAGATTCCTGAGACTATTTAGGGTCTTTTGTGGTTCTATATAAATTTTTGGAATTATTTGTTCTATATCTGTGAAATATTGGTATTCTAATAGGAATTCCATTGCTTTGTACAACTCAACACCAAGAAGACAAACAACCCAATCAAAAAATAGGCAAGGGACCTGAATAGACCCTTCTTCAAAGAGGAAGTTCAGATGGCCAACAGACACGTGAAAAGGTTTGCAACATCATTAATCATCAGAGATGCACATTAAAACCACAACGAGATACTGAGGTATCACCTCACACCTGTCAGAATGGCTTTCTTTAACAAATCAACGAACAAGTGCTGGTGCAGCCACTGTACATAGAGTTTCCTCAAAAAGTTAAAAACAGAACTGCCTTTGACCCAGAGATCCCACTTCTGGGAACATATCCAAAGAAACCCGGAACACTAATTTGAAAGAATATACGCACCCCTATGTTCATTGCAACATTATTTATGGTAGCCAAGGTCTGGAAACAGCCCAGGTGCCCACCAGCAGGTGAGCGGATAAAAAAGCTGTTGTGCATTTACACAGCGGAACACTACTCAGCTGTAAAAAAGAAGACGATCTTAGCCTTCGGGACAGCATGGCTGGCCCTGGAGGTTATGCTGAGTGAAATGCGCCAGGCAGAGAAGACAAATACCATAGGATCTCATTTATAATGTGGAATCTGGTAAACAAAATAATTGAACAAAACAGAAACAGAAGCATAGACACATGGAACCGACTGATAGGCTGAGAGCTGTCAGGGGGACGGGGTTTGGGGGGGCTGGGTGAGAAAAGGTGAAGGGATTAAGCACACACACACACACACACACACGACACAAAGACACAGACGACAGTGTGGCGATCAACAGAGGGAAGCGGGGTGGGGGAGGTGGGGAGGGGCCAAGGGGCAGCAGCCGGGACGGAAACCGACCCGACCGTGGGTGGCGAGCGTGCAGCGCAGCACGCGGGGGTTGTGTTAGTGAGTTGTCCACTTCGAAGCTGTATGGCTTTGTTAACCCATGTCATCCCAACAAATTCGATTAAAAAAATAAATAAATAATAAAATACTAAGAGGACAGATAGATAATGTGCCCCAAATCACACAGTTGGCTGCCTGGCAACCAGCCACATGTGAGGCCCCAGAGCTGTTAGTCGCTGCCAACGAGGGCTCTAACTAGTGCTGGCCCACCCGCTCGCCTGCTGCCCACGGCCAGAGCCTGCCCCGCTCCAGACCCAGGCGGCGGCGCTTAAGTCTGTGCAGGAGAAGGAAACTGAATCTACGGGCCTGATGGAGCAGCTACACCAGCCAGTGGACGGGCTACTTCACGGGTCCGGGAAGCTGTGAGAACCCAGTGCCTGGAAGAGAATCCAAGACACTTGAAAGGTGACTGTGGTAGACGGGACAACGGTGCAAGAACGCCCACGCTGTAACTTTCAGAAATTGTGGATACCTTAGATTACAGCACGAAGCAGAATGAAGGCTGTAAGTGGGACTACGGTTGCTCACTAGCAGACCTTAGCATAATCCGGGGGGGCTCAGGGTAGTCACAACGTCCTTAAAGGCAGGTGGGGGCAGCAGGGGCACAGAAATGCTACCTTCCTGGCCCGAAGGTGGGGCAAGGGGACCCCGAGCCAAGGGCGGCCTGTAGAAGCTGGAGAGGGCAAGAAAACAGATTCTTCCCTAGACCCTCCAGAAAGGGATTCAGCCCTTCCAACCCCTTGATTGTAGCACAGGGAGCCTGACTTTGGACTTCTAGCTCACTGGTAAGATAACATATTTGTGCAATTTGTTACAGCAGCAGCCAGAAAGTAGTAACACAGGGGCAACGCACCAAGCACCTGTCAAGTCCAAACACTGCTGTGATCGCCGAGACCCAAAGACACCAAGAAGAAAGGGCTGCTCCAGAGACACCCCCCCAGCCAACTCAGAACAAAGGTCAGTTTGATCAAACAGCTTTAACATAACTTTGACCTTGGCTCCAGTACTGAACAAGTCTCCTGCGGGCTACATGTTTGCTCGTTCGACACGTTTCACTTTTTAATTAGCCAATTAGCAGGCCTTGGGTGCAGAAGGCCCAGGCCATGTATTATTGATAGGTATTGAGCCAGGCGGCTGCAGGGGCCGGTTCTCAAAACCTGAAAACGAAAAGTCCAGTCCTGCCGGCCATGCCGACGAACGTCTTTTGCTCAAACCCCACTCTTCTCTCCTGGGTCTGAAACTCCTAGGACAGAGGACGGGAGATTGATTTCAGCGCAGCGTTTGCTCCCCGCTCTCTTCCCACACTACATCTGCAGCGATCCGGAGACAGGCCGCCTTCTGCGCCCTGCCCTCTAAGACAGGGGCGCTGAGCGGGGAGCCTGCCCGAGCTCACGCTCACAGGTGGCACTCGCACTGGCAGGGCGGCTGCCAAGCGCTGGCGGAAGAGACTGGCGTGGAGGGAACAATTCCTCCCACTGTGTGGTAAGTGTTATTCCCCTGGGAATCTTCCGGACAATTTCCCTCCCTTTTGCCATGGTCAGTCCTAGACAGAGTTGCAACTATGTGCCAACTTTAGTTCAGAAGCTATAATTTTGGGTATTACTGTCTAGTGTCAAAATGGTCTCTTACGAACCCTCTGTGATGGCCCTTATGGTCTGTTGAGGCCTCAACAGTGAAAGCTTTGAAGGCAGAGCTCAGCTTCAACCCTTGCCTTCTTCCTATATGTGTCTGACTTGGGCAAGTTACTCTTACCTCTCATAGCTTCAGTGTTCTTATCTAGAACGTGGGGGGAACACCAGTGCCTACGTCATACTGCTTAGGGTCACCTAGAGGTTTAAGTGAGATCATGCAAACGATGTGCTTACCACAGGACCTTGCACACAGTAATCCCTTAAGAAACACTAGCTATTCTCATCATTCCAACTAAAAAGTCAAAGTGGAGGTTGAGAAGAAAGAAGCTGAGAGAAGGAATAATGGGACAGAAGAAGTCAATCCCATTATCAAGGTTGCAGGGATCTAAGCCCAGCCGTGCCTGACAAAGCCAGTCAGGAAGGAGCCAGAACGAGTAGAGTGTCCAGAGGACAACGAGAGAGAAGATAACAATCCACCCAGAGAGGTGGCTGCTGGCAGGTGCGGGTGCAGGAATGAGGACCAGAGGAACTTCCAGGAGACCGCTGAGAACTTTCCAGAAATACTTTTCCTTGCCTCACTGCTCTTCTCTATGATAAGTATTTTTTCATGTCAGAAGTGGAAAATGCAAACACATGGAGGTTAGAAAGGCAGGCCACTCTGCACCCTGAGGGCACTGCGGAGATTTGGGCCCAGCGCCCGAGCTTCTGAGCCCAGGCCACCGGGAACGGGAGCGCTTCGGCACCAGGACCAGGCCTGCCCTGTTCTGAACTCGTTCCCCTCTCTCCACCCGCAGCCTGCGGTGGATTTTAGACACATTGCTCCTCCATCCTGACAGGGAGTCCGAGTTCGACTTACCTGCGCACCCCACCCCCAGCTCTACCCATCCCGGCTTTAACTTTACCAACCTTCTCCCACAGTTCAGCCAACCTGACGTCAGGGAACACCGCGAGGCCAGAGCCAGGTCTATGTCAAGGGAAACAAGAGTTACAACTGAGGAGGCAAAACAAAACCAGCAGTCATACCTTCATTTCGACCTCCGGGGCGGGGGTCTCGCTGGCTCGGGGGAAGAGCAGCAGCACGGCCGTGACGATCAGAGCCCCGAGGAACACGAACAGGACAGAGAACCTGGGGCGGAGACAGGGTGGGAAGGCGTCCGGCTCCTCGCCAGCCAGGCCGGCCTGACGGCTCTTCCCGGGGCCAGGCTTCCGCGCCTCAGCCCGGTAACGGCGCCCAGGGGCCTGCTGCCCACGCTGCCCGGACGCGGAGCAACAGTTCCCCTTGTCCCAGAGCCCTTCCTCCCAGACAGGGAGCGGCTGATGCCTTCCCGTTTATTCCCCGCCATTCCGCACTCCTAAGGGTGGGCGTTGGGAGGTTTTATTTTTGCCTCTGGGCAGTCATAATCAGGAGAAACCGATGCAGCCCCTCCCTCGCCCCTACTTCTGCATTTGTGTTTAGACCAGACACTTCAGTGGATTATGTAACCCACTGCTTTACCCTGACACTATCTGGCCAGAGAGCACAACACCCAGTGTGGTTTGAGTCGGCCTGTGGCCTGTCCTCTGAAGTCGGGCCTGACGGAGCGCCGGCCACCATCCGGCGTGCCTGCCGGTCCCCTGGGCCCAGGTCCAGAGCCTCAGGGACTGGACCGAGCGTCTGCCACAGTCCGGACAATTAAGAAACTCACACATGTGCAAACCTAAGAAATTCAACAGGCAGTGAAAGCAGGTTTCCTTTTCAGCTCATGTGCCCCCATCTCCTCCGCAGCGAGAACCGAGAGATGCCACTTCCCTTCAGAGCCCGTGACACAGCTAGTGCTTATAAGAGGGTAGAATGTGCCAGTGATTACAGAAAGGATCTCCTCAGTTCTAAATGTGGACTGAGCATCAGTCAGTGATTGTGCCGCTGATTGCGTTACCTGGGATTCCTGGGGGAGGGGGCGCCTTACCTGGTGACACCGGAGGCTCTGGACAGCAGCACGCACAGCAGCAGCACCGACACCCACAGCAGAGCCAAGATGAACACGCCAGCCCCCACTCCGAGCACGGTGGCGGCCATCTGCGGGGAGAGGGGCATGAGCCCTGCACTCCGCTTGGCCCTGGGCCACGGGGCAGCTCAAGGGGTCCTCAGCGCCGGGCGCTGCCTCCCTTCCGCACACTCCCGGGGTGTGTGAACGCCTTCAGCCAAACACAGCAAGTGCAAGCTCATTAGCAGGGATTCCTGACGATTGCCCTGTCAGATTTTGGGGAGCGTCCAGTCTCAGAGGCCTTAGCAGGAGTTATTTAGAACCAAACCTTCCTTGCTGCAGGGGACGGAGAGGTTGCTCTGGGTGGATCATTCTGAATTTGGAATCTAGTTTGCCTTCCCCCAACCGAAGGGAGAAGCTGAACCCTCCTTAGGTACAAAGCCCTCATGGAGTGCTGTCAAAGGCACCAGGGCCCGAGCAAGCCATGGCCAGTGGGGAGTTGGGGGTCTCCAGTGAAGTCCATGGCAGGAGCTTTGACTCCCCAGGCAACCACAAGGCAGGACTGTGCACTTTGTTGATACGTTTTTACTCACAAAAGGAAGCCAGAGCCGAAGTCCTTGGAGAAGAGGAGGAGAGGGGCCACCCTTACTTCTGAACGTTCACTGTGTACTAAGCACCTTGCAAATCTCCCTCTCACTTAATATGGCAATAAGCTTCTGAAGTAGGTATCATCATATCACGTTACAGAGGAGGTATCTGAGGTGCAATGGGAGAGAGATGTATGGAGTCGGGCGCCTTACAACAACAGAAAGCCCCGGCTCCCCCACAGCCTGGAGGCCGGATGTCTGGAATCAAGTGCCGCCCAGGCCCCACTCCCTCCAGAGGCCCTGGAGGAGAATCCTTCCTGCCTCCTCCAGATTCTGGTGGCTCCTGGCATTCCTTGGCTCATGGCCACATCCTTCCAGTTTCTGCTGGCTTCTCCTCTGTGTCTCTGTCTTCTCCTCTTCTGTCTTTTATGAGGATACCTGTCATTGAATTTAGGGGGTCCACCCAAATGACCTGAAATGATCTCACCTCAACATCCTTAACCTTGATTACATCTGAAAAGACCCTTTTGCCAAATAAGGTCACGTGCCCGGGGGTTAGGATGTGAACATATCTTTTGTAGGGCCACCATTCAACCCATCCTCAGGTAACACCACGCTAGAGGACCGCCCCTGATTTTCCCTGGCAGTGTCAGAGGTAAATCTTAAGCAAAAACTTCCTTCTTGTGGTGATGGCTTTCTTTACTCTGGTGGTCTAAATAGTACAAACAGGGCCTGTGAGAGGCCCTGTTATAAAGGTATTAGAAAGGAAGCCCTAAGCACGATCTGCTTAAAAATAAAACAACCAAGTATTTATTCAATCCACATTTTCTATGGGCCGGCCATGCCTGGCATCGTGGTTCCCGCATGCTGGGATCCCACGGTTAATACAACACACCGTCCGACGGAAGCTGGCGGCCTACTGGAGGGCACCGTCACGTAAACAACCACGCACGTTACACTCTGACACACAGACACAGACTGCGATGTGAACTGAGGCAGTGGGGGGGCGGCTTGGCACGGGCTCGTCTGGGGAAGAATCAGGGCGGCAGGAGGACGGAGTGAGGGAAGGGTGGGCAGAGCAGAGGCATGGCTCCTCCTCAGAGATCCATCCCCCCCGGCCCGGCCCGGCCTCGCTGAGGTGGCCCCCCAACGGTCACTCTCCATCACTCTCGTTCCCTCACAGCACGTCTCACGGAGCGTAGTTCGCATTTTATTTATTGTTTACAGGCTCATTTTCTGTCTCCCCAAGCAGAATAGAAAACTCCATGAGGACAGAGCCTTTGTATCTTGCTTACCACAGCACCCCCAGTTCTTACCAGAGATGATAATGAACAAATATTTGTTAAATAAATGAAGCAGCACTAACAAGCCCACAGAAATCAAGTGAAGGAGGGACAGGGTCATACCTAGTTTTAGAAAGACAACTGAGGCTTTCTGGTCAACTAGCGCTGACAAGGAAAGTACCTCCCACAAAAATAAACACAGAAAAGCGCTTAATAAAATAGAACAAAAAAGAATTTAATACACAGGGAGCTTAAAAGCAATAAAGAAAAACCCTTAACTGCTATAATACTTTAACTGCTATAAACAATGCAACTCGAAGGCTGAGTGGCGATCAGGAGCTGAGCCCAGGGGTCATAAGGGCCACTGGAACCTGATGCAGCCCTTTAGTGTCCCCTCCTGGACAGAGGAGGTCCCTGGCCCGCGATACAGAGACCTACACAGCTGAGCACGAGGCAGAAGGGGAGGCTCTGAAAGCGCTCGCCTGCTTTTGAAATAGGGACTGGATTTGCTGCTGACATAGCTCGAGGAAAGCTGGCCAAGTACCTGAGGCCGCAGATGGAGAAAGAATGCCCCAGAGAAATGTGAAGTCCAACCCTACATCAGGCGCGGGAGTGGGGTTCCAATCTCACTAGCGATGAGACATGGGATCCCAAGTAGAAAGATCAAATGAAAACCAGACTAAAGGTAAGACGCCCGCGGGACCCCAGGAGAGACACATTGAGACCCCTCTGTAGGGATGCACCGTGGTCGGCACCAAGGCTCCCCCAAGAGTGAGTGTAAAATGGAGATGCTTTCAGACATACAAAGACTGAAGCGAGTCCGCCTCTCATAGATAGGTGCGCTTCAGCAAGAAGGAAAATGACCCAAGATAGATGGCGGGACACCTGAGGAGGAGCGGTGGGTAAAACACTGGGGAACGTTCACAGTGAAGCTTTCTGTAACAATAAATAAGGACTAATTTTTTTTTGAGGAGTTAAAAACAAGGAAGAACTAAAATATCTGTTAACAGTTATATGGAAGATGAGAAATGATAGTTTCACGTTAAATCATTGTTACCTTTGGTTATTATTTTGCTCTGGAGGAGGTAGGAGTTAATGATTACCTGTAGGCTTTGTTAAGGTAAATATACAGGTTTTAAAAGCATATAGGTAAACACCAAAGATGGTAAATTTTATGTTACATGTTTATTACCACAACAAGCAAAACAAAATAAAATAAGCTGGGGAAGCAATATTAGTACCAAGCAAAACATAATGCTTTGGAAAAAAATGAAGACTCACAAAAGGAATAATTTACCAACAAGATACAACTCAAAACAAATGTCAAAATATATAAGGCCAAAAATCAAAAGAATCACTGCAATAAATGGACAAACCCACAAATTTAGTGGGAGATTTTAATATACCTCTCTCAGAAATGCATAGATTCAAGAAGATAAAAAATAAGAATAAACATTTGACCAAGAGGATCTACAAATAAATATGTGAAAAGGTGCTCAACGTTATTAGTCATCAGGAAATTACAAATGGAAATCCCAATGGAGTACCTCTAGACACCCATCAGAATGACTAAAACGAAAATGACAGATCACACCAAGTGCTGCTGAAGGTGTGGGTGAGTGTGAACTTGTACAGCCGCTTTGAAGACTGTATCTGATAAAGCTGATATGTGTGTCCATAGTCCCTGACCCAGCTCTTCCATTCCTAGGTGCATTCCCAACAGAGATGTACACATAAATTCACAAAGACATGTACAACATTCAACTCAGCCATATTTCAAATAGCTAAAAACAGAAACCACCCAAATACTCATCAATCAAATGGATAACGTTTGGTATTATATATACGATGTACTCATTCATTCATACAATGGAATAGCATACAGCAATGAGAATGAACAAACTACATCTATATCCAGAAATACGATGAGTTTCCCAAATATTGACTGAGAAGCTACAGGCAAGAGTCTGTACTGTATAATTCCATGGACATAATGTTCAAAAACAGGTCAAACTAATTTTGGGGTTAGAAGTCATGAGTATGGTTACCTTGTACAAAGTAGTGCATGAGGGAGCAGAAAAGGATCCTGAGGTAGGTATGAAATTTTGTTTCTTGATTTAGGTGTTGGTTATATGGCTTTGTTACTTTTGTTAAATTCTACCTGACTTATATACTTTTCTGTATGTGTGTTACATTTCATTAAAAAGTTTAAAATAGAAAGTTTCCTTTGAAGAAAGAGTCTGAAGAGACCTAAGAGCCAAATGCAATGTATGAACCTTGTTTGGGTCCTGGTTTAAACCAACTATAAAAAACCTTTTATGAGACAACTGGGGAGTCTGAACAGTACAGTATTTGGATTTTGATACTATTAGGGAATTTATTGTTTATTTTTAAGTGAAAAATATTTTTTAAATGTGATTATATTTCTAAAAATAATTTACGATATGCATAATACACAGAACACACAGGTAACAGAAAATGATGTTTAAAAACTTCACAATTATCTGGGGGAGATGAGATGAAGGGGACTAATGTTAAAAACAACCCTGGTCATGAGTGAATTGTTGAAACTGGATGACAAGTGCATATACCATTTTCTACACTTCTGAATATATTTGAAACTTTCATAATAAAAAGATGTATATATGAATATGTATATATGTATAAGTAGGAATAAATCCAACAAAAGATATGTAAGATTTCTGTAGCAAAAATCATAAAACTTTATTCAAAGATTTTGTAAAAAAAAAAAACCTTAGAAAAACATAACCGACCTGAATAGAGAAATAAGCCATGTTCCTATATGGAATGATTTAACTTTAATTGATCTTAATATTACTTAGTCTATCAATTCAATGCCATTCTAACCCAAAACCTCAACATAATGTTGTTGTGTTTTTTTTTTTTGGTGGAACTTGAAAACTGATCCTAAATTCATATGGAAAAGCAAAAGCCCAAGAATAGCAAAAACAATTTTAAGAACTAGGATGGAAACTTGCCTTTCTTGTTACCAACTGCTACAAGACACATTATAAAACCAAGGTAATTAAAACAGTGTGATAGTGGCATAAAGACACATGGACCAGTAGAATAAAATAGAGAACCCAGAAACCGGTCCATGCATTTATGAGAGCTTTGTGCAGGACAGAGTTGGCTTTATGATTCAGTGGATTTCATAGATGGTGTTGGGACAAATGATTATCCAATCAGAAAATAATGAAATTAGATCTCTATATCATACACGGAAACCAATTTTAAACGGAAAGTAATTCATTATAAAACAGCATATGCTTAAGGATACCAATGCCTGGGCTGACTGCACTAGAATACATAATGAAGTACATCAGTCAGCTGCCTGCACCTAAACTTAGAATCGCCATGAACGCAAAAGCTGCAAAGCGCAAGCTGGTGCAGGTGCGTTGTACGGCAACGCAAATACCACGAGCTGGGCCGCCTTCAGCTACGGGATTTTTCTAGAGTGATGAACAACTCTTGTTAAAGTTCCAAACCACAAATAAGTATAATTTCCTCCTGATTTACATCAGAGTTGCATTCCTGGAAATTTTAACTACATTCAACTGTGCCAAAAATTACATTATGTTTATACAAAAAGTTAGATTCCAGGTTCAGATTATAAACGAGTGTCCTGTGGGACACCAAAGTGGTACAGGATGCAGGACAGGTCTTCACTGTGAGGGGCTGTCCATGTGTTGCAGAACACCGACGCCCCGGCCCTGCTCTGTAAACCCCAGCAGCGCCTCCAAAATCACCGTAATCATC